ATATATATATATATATATATATATATATATATATATATTTCATTTTTATTTCATTTTATAATAAAAAAATTATAAATAAAAATAAAATAAAGTATGCTATTTTTATGTGTTATATTTTTAATTTATTAATATTTTTAGCGACATCAAACTGTTCATATTAATTATACTTTTAACGGAATTAAATTGTAGCTTATATAATATAATTGAATAATTAATATAATACTATTTATGAGCTTCGGCTAAGTTGATGAGATTTGAAGACTGTTCACAAATTTCTACACATATACACAGACATGTATATTATATATATGCATATATTATACATACATATATACGCACTTTGTGGCAGCCCCCAGTCGAACCCCATTGATGGTATTCGAGGCGTTTGTCATTCGCATTTGCTGCTGCAGTTTTCCGCCGCCGCCGCCGACGACGCAGCGCACACATGAGCCGAGGCCAGAGCGTGGCCAATGTTAAGACCCATCCCCGATTCCAGAGTTGGCAACAGGTTACGAGCAATGCGCCGGCGTTGCGGCGCGGTCGCGTCGTCGCAGCAGCAGCGACAGCGGCAGAGCAGCCGAGCGACAGCCAAGTGCTTAAGGAATGGTAAACGTTACCTGTGCACCTCAGTCCAAGGTGAGCGCTCGTGCTGTTCGGTTTGGTTTCTTTTGGCTTGGTTACACGCACTCACATACACACACACACACCCAAACACATATATATGTGTACATGTATATATACATATATATATAGAGAGATATAGAGATATATTGCCGCGTTGTTCCACTCCTCCTCACTGAAAGACCAAAGACGGCTGAGCTTGAAATTGAAATTCTTTTGTGTTCCCTGGCCCTGAATCGTGTGCGCTCGCTCTGTTACGTGTTTCGATCAAGTGCGGTGCAGAAAGCAAATAAAATTTGTATACACCAAAAAATAAAAAAAATCATAAAGAAAACATAAAAAAACCACCAGCAAAAGGAGAAAAAAAAACGTTAACAAGAATCATCGCTGCTGCCAAGTACAGCAGGCCAACAAACACACAAACAAACAACCAAACACACAGTTTAAAAATGGAATACCGGTGCTTAAGTAGAAGTTCTGTCAAAGTAAGTGACCCCAATAAGCCAAGCAAACAACAAAAAAAATCACACCAAGAGTGAACTTAGCCTTAATGCTCGACCCGAAGATGCTCTGCAGCTAGCTCAGATCAATTGTGAAGTAGGAGAAAATGATATATAAGATACAAGATAAAAAAAACCTAATTAATTTATGGGGTATAAGAATATCATAGTGAATAAAAACATCCTTTGGATTTAGACTGCTCGACTTAAATATACGAAATTTGTTATTATAAGATTGTATCGAGATTATGGATGTCATGTAGAAAGAAAATAAACAGAAGAAATTCATATTCGACAGAAAGTAAAGAAAAGTCCTTTGGGCTTTTTGCTAAGAGATTTATGGAGAGGTTATGACTGATTGACCTTAACTAGCGAAAATTTGTCTTGTGTAAGTTGTCTTTAGATTTTATCGATAGTTTTAAATAACTGATATTTCTAAGGAGCAAATGAAATGATGAGAAGCGATTTTTGTTACTTGTTTATAAATCTAGATAAAAGAAAATCGAAATGGAATTTGGTGGCAAGAGAACAAAAATGCTCTCTGGACTTTGTTACTAAGAGAATAAATTCCTGAGTGATTTTCTCCAAGCAATTTTGTTTGACCCAAAGAAATTTCTTTTTATTCGTTTCGGAACTAATAAACTCTGCTCTGGTTATTTATATGAGTCGAACGAAAATTGATCAGTAATTTTTGTTCATAGAAGATGAAGTTAGACTTCCTTAGATCTTAGTTCGGAATCCTTAGCAACTGTAGTATTCATTTAAATAATTATCTGTTCCAACCGTATATATTTTCTCTACTTCAATACGCGTTTAAATATGTATACTCTGTTACGATCTTTTGAATTGGTGTATATAATATATATACTCTATTGATTTACATTCATTATTAAATGGCTTTTCACTCTTAGCGTGTTGCATGAGCTGCTGCAACTTGTTAATTAGCTTTGTCCATACCATTTGGTTGCTTCAAAGAGTACAGGGTATAAAGAGCGACACCAGCCAATGAAGCGCCCACAAGGAAGCTTCGTCTCAGCTAAGCTGAAGCTCTCCAGCCGCTGCTGCTGCTGCTGCCTCTCTGACTCTGGCTCTGACTCTGACTCTTTGCATTGAACTTGGCATTGTTCTCAGTTCAGTTGGCGCTGTCGTCGTCGTGTCTGTATTCCTTATGACGCTGCAAACCAGTATGCCATTAAACTCTGCACTTATATATACACATATATCTAGACATACGAGCGCGTATACAAGTATATTTAGGTGCGTGTGTATGTGTGTGTGCAGCCCAACCCAACTGACTGCAGAGAGTCGTCACCCAAGCAACGCCTTGGTGGTCCAATAAAGATTAAGTGAATATTTTGTTTTTATGGGCTTGGCTGCAGTCGTCTAGCCTGTGGCCCGGACTCGGGCAGGAATTTGCAGCTGGAGCAGAATAGCCAAAGCCACACACACGACCTATTTCTGTGGCCAGCCAATCACTTGCTAAAATTATCACCTTTCTTTGACTTTCTTTTTGCTGCTTCGCTCAGTCCGAGGTCTTAACGAATTTTTAATGAATTTGCCTTGCTTGAATATAACTTTTACTAGCTGCCTGTATTTTTATTTTTATTTTTATTTTTTTTTTTTTTTGCATTTTTTTGTATGCTTTGTAACTCGTGTCACGTTCACAACGTGCATTTATGGCCATTCCATGAATAGATTTTTACAACAATTGCCAAATGCGGAAGCAATTCAAAAGAGTTGAAGCAAAGGCCTAGGAGAAGTTTTAGATCTTTTGCTGAAGCTGTGACCTAGTACTATGTAAGGAAAATTTATGGGCCCAGCATGAACACAATAGATATGGGCGAAAAAAATATAGATACATTTAAACTAGAGAGTTTTTATGTAAATGGAGTCAGGTATAGAGAAATATTTTAAAAATTGATACCAGAAAATTGGTTGTTAATATCCATATAAATAATTTGAATTAAATTGCTTTTTAATCTCTTATTGACTATTTTTAGCCAAGGGGAAATATTCAAACTTGATGTAAACATAAAAGACCACAAGAGAAAAATACATATTTTTGTTAAAAGTATGCTCTATTCCACTTCATTCATTTCAATGAATAAACTTTGCATCTATGTATTTATTACTTTGATTCCATCACAAATTAACTGAATAGACTTTACCTCTAACAAAATAAACAATTTACCTAAATATACATACTCGTGCCTAATACCCACTTCACCCATATCGCATCGCATATCATTTGCCAATCCCATTTGTTTGGACTTAAAACGTGCTCGGTTAGAAGCCGTGCTGAAGATGATTCAAAATGAATTCCCAGACTGATTCAATGAGCCGCTAGCAGTTGGCCCAAAGCAAAATACAAAGTTTGTTGTTGTTGTTGTTCGTTTCATTCGTTCCGTTTTTTGAAAAGTAGGCTAAACATATTCATACTTTGATTTTTATGGAGTCCCGTGATTGTTTTTTTTTTCATCTGCTTCTTCTTTTTGGATGGTTGTGCTTCGAGCCGGTCTTTTCATACACACGTACGCACACACATACACATGTACATATGTATATATGCCCTTCGGAGCGTGAAAATCTCATTCATGCGTGCCTCTGATCTTTGTTGTTCTTGTTCTTCTACCTTGAGTGTGACGAAGATGAACCCAACCTTAAAAAACGATTTGAATATTTGCAAAACGGTGAAGAATTAAAACAAAAAACTGTAAAACAAAGAAGATAATTCTGTTTCTGGGTCACAATGCTGTCATTGTGTTCATTTTGTGCGCAAATCTATGTGTATATAGTTCCAGTCAGATAGGATAAATACGAAATATTTGTGAAAATTCACAGTATTTTCAGAAATGTGTGTTAATTGGCATATTTAATGTAGCGCCAAGAACTAACAGTACTTCTTGCTTGCCCCTTAATTGATGAGACGTGTTTGCCTCAAGCATTCATAGATATAAACAGCTTCGGCTTCTTTCTCTTTGTCGTAGTGAAATCCAAATTCCTGAACAAAACAAAATTGTAATAATAATGTATAGTAAAATAAAGCGTAATGAGTAAAAGTGTCAGCGACTGTAGCTAATTATTATTATTGTTATTGTTATCATTATTATTTCGGTTCTACTTGGGCACGGCGAAATTTTTGTTTTATTTGCTCTTAACCTCATTTCCACGCGCGATCGCTAACAGCCGACAGCCGACAGCCGACAGCTGCTGCTGCTGCTTCTTCTTCTTCTTCTTCTTTAGCTGGACAATGGCTAAAATACGCACACAGCATGCGAAGTAGCCCAAAATGAAAGCTGTTGTTGTCATCGTGTGGGAGGCAGAAGAAGCAGAGAGAGAGAGATAGCGAGAGAGAGAGAGAGAGAGCAAGAGCAAACGGCAAGCCGCAGCCATTGCACTTGTCTCTGTCTTTCCCTGTCACACCAATTGCTAGCGCTTCTAACTGTGCTTACAGCTACGGTTGCTGTTGCTATTGTTGTTGTTGTGGTTGCTGAGTCTGAGAAAACGTGCTTTGCATGCCTGGCGAGCGAAAAAAAAAAACCGCATTGAAAGTTTTGTCGCTTGGGGTTATCACGTCAAAGCGTAGAATCTCGTGTTGTTGTCTTGGCAGCTGCAGGTAAACTACAAAAGCAACAACAACAACAAAAAACAGCCTAATGGGCAAACGGTTAAAAAAAATGCATAGAAATGCTGAGAACTGCCCAAGTTGCAAGCACTCCATTTGATTTATCGTCTTTGTAATCGATTGGAGTGTTGGGCAGCCTGTTTGATAGAAACTGTGCTAGTAATTCATCGATCCTGCACGAGTTGTGTTGGTCAGCGAACAACAAAGGCCTTGAAAACTGTGCCATGCTAGACAAAACAAACAAATGGCAATTTATTTCATTTTAAACAGACTCCCATTGAGAACATGGAGTGGAGCAGCTGCTGGCAACGCTTATCAATAAACCAGTTTCGAGTTGTTTTGCTATTTGTTTGCTGTCAGTAATCTGTCGTCGCCCCATTGCTCTGGCTCTGCTCTGGATCTGCTATGCTTTCAAGAGCCAATTTTCACTATGGAGCTAAGAGCCAGAGCAGAGCGCCCCATATTATTGTCTGGGGCAATTTGTGCTTTGTATTAGAATTAAATATTGTTTATTAAATGCCTATGCTTTTCCAAAAGCTTGCAGCTAATGGGCGAAGATCCAAGCGTGCGACATGTGAGTGAGTGATTGAGCCATACAGAGAGACGAGCGCGAGAGAGAGAGAGATGAATGTGGGTCGTTAACCTCAATATAACGGCACCTTATATGTACGTATGTAAGAGCTCTCATACGTATAGGATGTCTGTATGTGTATGTGTGTGTGTTTGCATGTGTGTGCTCTTGATAGTTTTTGCTGTTTCTTTTGCTGTAGTTTTAATTCTTATTCTTTCTAACCTGCCTGCCTGCTTGCCTTGTCTTGGTTTTTATTTGTTATTATGCGTTAAGTCACCAACAACAACAATAGCAAAACATTTAGTGCGTTGCCGCTGCTACTTTGAAAATATTATTGTAGTTTTTGCTGTTGTTATGTAAGCGTCGCTAATGACTGCGCATTAGTCCGAAATGTTGAAATTGTCGCCGCGAGCGCCTTCAATGGGTTTTTGATTAATGCATGATTTTACAATTTCTAACCCAATTATAGCTGAAGCGAGATGGACTGAAAAAAGCAGCTTATCATAATTATTATAATTATTTGCATGTTTATTTTTTCCTCTCATTTTTTGTTTGCCCAGTCATTGGCGCGACAATTTCAATGAACTCCAAATATGACAGTTACAAAAGAAAGAAGCAAGAAGAAAATAAAAACTAAATAAGAGTTGCCACTCATCGGAGCTCCTTTCTTTTCCCAAAGCTGGCAACGCGATGGCCATCGAATGAAATGCTCGAGCGATTGCTTAAATGTGAAATTAGTTTAATTTAGAGGCGGCACTAGGTATGTGTTTATTATGATTATTAAACGAAATTGTTAGGGGACCGTCGGCCGTCTGTCCGCTCTTCGCCCAAAAAACAGAAAGTTTAAAACCGGCATTGACAATGGCGCCTTTAATGACAGAATTTGACAAAAGGGCCAGAGACCCAGAGTTCAGGTGAGAGTGTTGTAAAACCTGTGCAACAGCAACGGCCAAACAACAACAATAAATGCGACGACTTCATTAATTTCTTGTAATGAATGTGAAAAGAATTAAATAATAGAATTTCGCTTTCATTTACTTCCCACCATGCGCAGAGACACACGCAATGGGCTATATAATGAATCAAGCCACAAGCATTTCGTCAAATGTGCAATTGAAAAGAAAGTTTAGTTTTATTTTGTTTTTCTTTGTATTTTTTTATTTTTTATTTCTTTGGTATGTGTGCTTTCGCACGCAATAGAAATCCAAAGTAATTCAAAGCGAGCCGACGATCACATATCATAAAAGCCATGTTTTAAATCAATTTAAAAATACCTTCGCATTGACATTGCAATTATTCGTATATAAAAATAAACACCAATTGTTGCCGAGGACAAGGCACGTTACGATGGCGCTGGTCGATTGCTGAAGTTCGATTGTCGGGCTTGAGCTTATTATCTTCTTTTTTTTCAGCAAAACATACGTGAAATGATTTTCTCAGAGGCAGCTCATTTCATTTTTTTTTTTAGTTAAAAGCAAATTATGTACTGCTGCAATTTGATTCAATGGAAACTGGTTTTTCGGCAGTGGCCTCTTGACTTTTTTTTTTGGTCAGGCCAACACTTGATCAACAAAATCTGCACAGAGAAAGTGAAAGAAAATACCAAAAAAAAAAAGTAGAAAAAAAATCAAAACAAGCCAACGATACATAAAAGCTACGAGAAGTGGTAATAAAAAGTTCAGACCGTATTAGAAGCCAACTTTGCATGTTGTTGAAAAATGTCTTAACATTTTTCACGTTGTTGTTGCTGTGGTTGTTGCTGTTGTGGTCTGCCTTGCTCTGTGTGCTGTCGGCCGCGCCAATTGGAATTTCTTCTTTTGTTTTTACTTTCACGTATGGATATGGGGGCGATTGCGGTTACCATGATTATTTATGAATTCTACTAATTTGCCTAGCGAGCGCGGCTACATAAGTCGAAGCGGGTCAAGACTACCATTGCCTGACTTCGTTTTTGAGAGAGAAAAGAAATTTGTTTTTTATTGAGGCTTGAGGAATGCCAGTTAGAAAACTTTTTGATATTAATCGCTGGATATTTTAATTGTCTTTTTATTTTTATTTAATTTTATTTTGTCTTTGTAAGCTATAAACCTACTTAGTTTCAAAGTGCTTAATAGTATTAAATAGATTAGAATAATATAAATACTAAATACATCATAAAAATGCGATATTATACAGCTTATTTTTGTCTTGATAATAGAAATACTAGTTTAACGACTATAAAATAATAATAAATAAAATAAATACTAAATAGATATACGAGGGAATTAATGACTTTTAAATTAGATAGATCAAATAGAGTTTAAGATTATCTTAAAATATAAAGCCTAAATATATACATACACATATGCTATACAGGGTATTTTGAGGTTCGGCATCTGATTTTGATTGTTCTAATGCCTCATGACACAGCAATTTTTTGCCTGTCGCTTATTGGCTAGATCGCTGTACCCGTTATAAGTACTGGCTTGTCTCTTAACCATATCAATAACATATTAAATATGCAATTCATATGTATTTTTTCTGCTCTCTCGCTCTATCTCTTGACAGCATCTAACGGCACTCTGCGTCATCAGCATTGCACTCACCTGCGCCAATGCGGCGCTGTGGCCCAGCTTTAGCAGCGGCAGCAGCAGCAGCAGCAGCAAAGCGGACGATGCGCCGCCCAGTAAATGCACCGGCGCGCGTGGTCTGAAATATTTATCTGGTGATGCGTTGACAGATTCACTAGACTGCCTGGGTCCCAATAATGCGCCATATCCAAGGTATTTACACATATATATGTATATGTATACATAGCCAACAAAAAGTGTGTCTGTGTGTGTGTCATTCATTGACAACTCATTACGCTTCGGTCACAATGCAAAACTTTCTTTTCTAACGCCTCTGCCTATCGCTTTGCTTCGTCTATCTATTGCAGCGCGGCCGTTGCGCGCACATTCTCCAATTGGAACGGAAATTCGCGACGTGGACGTCAAAGCAAATTGCCCAGCACATTGGATCCAGCAATAACCAAGAGTGCACTGTTGAGGGCCTACGATGAGGTAAACAATGAGGCTATCGGAAGCAATCGTTATGGTAAGTCGGTCAACCGCAAATCAGCTAATGCTAATGGTTGAATGATTAAATGACTGACTGACTGATTGATTGTTTGACTCTGTTTCGCTGCAGGTCGTTCTATAAAGAACGCATCGCCGGCGCAACAGTGCAAGAGCGATACGCCAGCGCGACTCTGCAAGACGCGCTACAACACAACCGCACCCATGTATGGCGTTAGCTTGACCTCTGGTCAGCCCGTGACAATTGTGCAAAAGTTTCCCGATCTGTTGCAACAGGTGGTCTTCGAGGTTTGCGAGTGAGTATTAAAGAACCAAATATTTACTTTGAAAGCCGTTTGTTGAAAGCTCCATTAAATCAAAGTATGTGTTAGGCGCTCGCAGACTGATGATTTCATTGCATTTATCATACTAAATTAATTGAATGAGCTTTTGGGAAAGCCCTTAGCGTCTGAGGTGAAATATTTCCATATGCTGTGTTGCCAGACTAATGAGCGATATTTATTCAAATTAACGTCAAGCTAATTTGCTGAAATGACAATTTAAATTTTTGCACAAACTAATTAACATTTAATAGTTGATATTTATTATGATAAATGAACTAATTAAACTTTTGGATTTTTTTCATACTTTTGCATATGTATATAAAATTAAATTACATAAAGAAATAATATTAATAATGCTTAATTTTTGCTGCAGATCCTCTGAATGCGATGTTGTGCGCGGCGAGTGCACGCAAACCTATGTGCCTTATTTATTCCTGGTCATCCCTCTTGGACCAGTGACGCTGACTGGCCAGGATTATGTGCTCGTTGAGAGTGGTTGTGTGTGCAAACCGAAATATTCGACGGGCGCTGCTCAAGAGCCGAACATGATACCGTAAGTTGGATGGAGAGTGTACTTGACACTGGTATACAACAGCAACCAAAAGAACTGAGCGAGTTTATGGGGATGGAGCGGCTAAATTTACATAAATCTGGAATTATTTTTTGTAGCAAAATCGTATTTTCAATGTTTTTTATTCGCTTTTCGTTTGTCTCTCTTCATACACATGATGCTGTTAGAATGAAATAGGCTTTTGCTCGAAAAATAATGCTTAAATTAAGTTTTAAATTAAAATAATTCGAATAAATTATTCAAGATTACATGAAGAATCATCCTCGGCGGATAAATTTATTTGATTTGTGCTAAAAAAAAAATAATAATTAGAGACAAATGATGCAAAACACGCAATTTAAACGGCATAAACAAATTTAGTTCATAATTACATATAATAAATTAATTATAACAAGCCTTTTTAACGTTTTGTTAAAATTTATGTGTATGTACTAATTTTAAATTAAATAAATTATTTAAATAAACAATTTAATTGAAATAGATTTGATATCATTCGATAAGCTCAGTCAAATATATTAACGGTCTACTTTTTGAACTGAAATTTAATGGCAAATCGAGTGCGATACATTTATCATATAACAAGGTGAGTTTCTGCGATGAAGTATCGCTTGCACATCAAAGTCACCACTATCGATACGATGTACGCAAAGTGCATGCGCTGCCGCTACAACTATCGCTCATCACTCTGCCTGCCGTGTATCGTTTTGCTTCGTCTCAGCACTAGCTACACGCATAAATTTTTAGCGAAAAATTAGAAAACGAGCAAACAGAAGCTAACAAAAGTGCAGCGAGTGTAATTCGGCATACAGTTTAGCAATTACATTGTGTAATTCTACTGCTTGCATAGTTGTTTTCGTGCATTTAGCGCCGCATACTTAATCGCCCCGCACTCGCACTAACACACACGCGCTGAGTGTTTTGTGTGTGTGTGCCCGTGTATACATGTGCATGTGTGTGTATAGGTGACAATTTTGTTGCGTGGTGCCGGGTTACAGTTAAATATTACAGAATTTTTGTTGATTTGTGGGCGCGCGCATATAACTGTGGCATGAAATAAAAACAACGCCAGTTAGCCGGCACAGTTAAAATCATTTAACGCTAGCGTGTGTGCAACTGCTTTCAGCCTCAAAATGATGTTCACGGTACGTTGTTGTTACGCCTTATGTTCGTTTATTCCAAGGGGTGCTTCAATTGCGCTGCCCGACAAACAATCGATAAACGGCGCTGCAAAACTGCAAGCCACAAGAGAAAAAGAGAGCAAAGATAAATAGAGAGAGTACCTACATATTTTCATGATCAGCAATGCTTTATGCTGAGCTTTAGCAGGCAATGCTTACGCTCTTGATTATTTATCTCTTTTATTCTCAAGACATTTTTTATCATTAACTCTGGAAGTCATTTGAATATGCGAAATAAATGCGAGCATAATTTAAACAGATTTAATAAAGATTGCACTCAAATAAAATATATACATACATATGTTGTATTGAATTTATTTTAAATTTTGTTGTTTTGGCTTTTTTATTTTAATTTTTAGGGCACCAATCAGCAGCAGGACACGCGCTTCAGCGACAAGGAAAAGAAGCTGATGAAGCAAATGAAATTCGGTGATTGCCTCAATAAGCGTGTTGACATGTCGAAAGTTAAGCTCGATGTGCTGCGCCCTTGGATAAGTAAGAAAATCACTGACATTCTGCACATTGAGGATGATGTCGTTGTTGAGTTTGTTTACAATCAGTTGGAGGAGGAGAAATATCCGTGTCCCAAGAAAATGCAAATCAATATGACCGGCTTCCTCAACGGGCGCAATGCCCGCCAATTTATGGGCGAGCTATGGGCGCTTCTGCTCTCTGCCCAAGAGAGTGACAGCGGCATTCCTGCAGAGTTTATACAGCAGAAGAAGGATGAGATACTCAAGCGTGAGGAGGAGCAGCAGCAGCAGCAAAAGCAGCGTCAGCAACAGCAGCGTCAACGTGATCACTCACGCTCTCGCTCACGCTCCAGATCCCCATCGCGCTCACGGGATAAGCCGCGACGTCACGACAGATCAAAATCGCGCTCCCGCAGTCGCTCGACCTCCAAAATGGCAGCAGCCTCCAATAACGGCGGCATTCCTGCAGTGCCCATCAACAGTGCTGCCCGAGAGGCGGCTGCAAATGCAGCTGCTCGCCTACGCAAACGCGGTGGCGGTGGTGCTGGAGGTGGTGGCGGCTCACCAGGTGCAACGGGAGGCGGAAGTGGCAGCGGTGGGACAGCAGCAGCTGCAGCAGGCTCAGCGACAGGTGGCAGCGGTGGACGTGCTACATCGCGAGAACGTCGTAGCAGTCGCCGGCGATCACATTCCCGCTCACGATCGAATCGCTCGCCGCAACGAGCAGCCTCCACAGACGCTGGGGGCGCTGCTGCCAAGACTTTAAACGGGCGCCATTCGGTCCAGAAATCATCGCCAGCCGTTGCATCCAAGTCCAAAACAAAGGCCAAATCGCGTTCACGTTCGCGCTCGCGTTCAACGCGCAGTCGCTCCAGGTAGCTAAGCACAATTAAAGCCAGATGAGAGATGTTGATAGACTTGAAAAAATAGGAGTTGTAGACTAATAGATTGTTTACAGTAAAGAACAAATGTATTTAAATATTTATACGTATTATAGTCGTTGTTCCCTATAAGAAAATGTTTTCCGCCCATGCAGTTATTATCAAAACTATTTCTAGTTCTCAAGATCTAAATGAGCTTTTGTATATACCTATGTTAGTCAATAACCAGATCTAAATATTAGTTTGACAAACAATAATTCTAAAATATTAATTTGTTAGATGAAATGTTTAGTAAACTCATATAGATGCATTTGATGTAAACATGATATTGTATGTATTCACATCATCCTAATTTGTAATCATTTGAAACGATGATAATAGATTTATTCATTGCTTCTTTTATTATCAAAAATCCTACGTTTTAGTATATCAACATCTCGTTATTTGAAACAATAATGTTAATACCTTCACTACTTTCTGTAAATCAACATCTCTAAGCTCATCATCTTTGAAGCTACATATATTAATAATTACTTCATTCCTTCACAGATCCCGAAGCGGAGGCAAAGGCTCGCCAAAAGCTCGTTCTCGTTCGCGCAGCTCTTCACGCTCCTCGGCGCGCAGTAATCGGCGTCGTCGCAGCTCGCGTTCGCGCGCCAGCAGCATTTCGCTGTCGCCGGAGCGCCAACAGGATCCACAGTTCGAACATCGACGCAACAAGAACAGCGTGCAGAATAAGCGACAGTATCGCAGCAATCGTGATGATTCCGCCAGCTCCATTGAGCGAGGCGATGGTCGTGCCAGGCAATTTGGAGGCGGTGGCGGAGGCGGGGGTGGCAGACGACCGCCGCCACATGGCAGACGCTTCTCGCCGCGCGGACGCAGTCCCATGCGCCAGGATAATGGCGGCGGTGGCGGTGATAGACGCTTTCAGCGCTCCAATTCGCGACGTCGTTCGCGCTCCCGCATGTTATCCAGATCGCCGATGCGCTACTCCAGATCACCCAGGCGGTAAGAATACATATATATTCATATATACATATGCTTAAAAAAATGTTTGTATGACAGCAAGTAGATAACATAGGGTAGGATTATGAGATTATTCCTGTTAATTTTGATATGTATAGCTTCTGGATGATATTTATCATATCTATATTTTATAAAACGGCTAAATCATGGGCTTATGAATATTTAGAAGAGTATGTATGTATATATTTATGCTATTTATATTTTCTCTAACAAAGGAAGAGATAGTGATAATAGAATAGATCTAAATCGTAGGGATTTTATGGTCTTGATTGTCTGAAAAAAGCTTTCAGGACGTCTCTAATTCTTCTTTTATACTGTTTCAATTATTTATCATTTAAAGGCTTGCTTTTCTTTTTGTACATATATAATTTTTGCAAACGTTCTTTAATTAATTAGATTGTACAATTATAGATTTTTCATCTATGACATTTTATGACTAATTATTTTGAATTACAGTTAGCATATGCTGACATAACTGGACTTGTCACTCGTCTGTCTCTTCTCAGCTGTCAGTTGTCATTTGTCAGTTGTCTCAGTTTTCTGCAGACATCGATACTTTGCAGTCGATGTAATCGATGTCAGTTGTCTCTTAGTTTAGTTCCTGTCATATCTGTCTAGAGTCTTCTCGATTTCTATTGAGCCTAAACTTGTCTAAATGCCATTTTTTTTGCACCATCATTACAACAGTTTTAATAATCGCCGACGCTCGCCGCCGATGCATTTCCGCGGTGGCGGAGGCGGTGGAGGTGGAGGAGGCGGCGGTGGAGGTCGTGGTGGTGGTGGCGGCAGAGGAGGCGGCGGCGGCGGCGGCGGCGGCAACCACCGGAATATGTGGCAGCAGCAATACCGCGGCGGCAGTCCCAATCAGCGTGGCGGCGGCGGTGGCCGGATCCCCTGGCAGGCCAGGCACAACAGTCCCAATGGCGGACGGCGCTTCGATCGGCGTCAGTCGCCGCAGGGCGGTGGTGGTCAGCGTCGTTATTCACGGGATCGCCGCCAGTCACCCGGCCCGGGCGGTCCGCAGCAGCAGCAGGGCCAGTTCCGTAAGCAGTTCTCGCCGGCACGTCGCTTCGATCGGCGTGGCTCGCCGCAGGGCAACTACAATCGCTGGGATCAGAATCATCCCGATCAGCGCCAGGCCATGCGCAATCAGCAGCAGCAGCCGCAGCGCATGCGTCGCTCCAGCTCGGGCAGCGCCAGTCCCGTTGCTGCACGTCGCCAGCCGCAGCGCAGCGTCAGTCCATTGGCCAGAAATCGTAGTCGCACCCGCAGTCGCTCCAGCGGCCGACCCACGAAGCACAGTCGCAGCCGCAGTCGTTCCAAGTCGCGACCGCAGCAGCGACGTCGTCCCAGTCCCGCAGCAGCGGCGCGTCGTTCCGTTGAGTTTTCCGGGCCGACTGTCAACACCATTGATCTCTGTCGCGAGGAGCCGTCGCAGCATCTGGAGCAGCATCTAGAACAGCAGCCGCCGCAGCGCAAACTCGAGTCACAGCCGCAGCAGCAGCAGCCAGCGCAGTCCCAGCCACCGGCAGCGCGCTCGCAGTCAGCGCGTCCAAGCTTAGCCAGCCTCTCGCGCACACCGTCGCCGTTCCTTAAGTCGCACGAGCGCAACGCTGCCGCAGCACCAAAGAAGGCACGCGACAACAGCCAGAGCAGCAGCTCGGACAGCAGCGCCGATGACAGCGACGATAGCGAGGATGAGGAGCGCCCGACGAAGAAGCAGCAGCAGCGCCATCAGTCGCGTCGCTCGGCGCATAGCGTCAAAAGCAGCTCGAAGGCAGCAAAAGCTTCGGCGGCCGAGCCAAGTAAAAGCTCTAGCAGCAAGGCCAAGGCCAAGTCGCGCAGTTCGGGCAGCAGCAGCAGCAGCGAGCGCAGCGACGACGACGATGACGACAGCAGCGATGAGCGCCACAAGAAGAAGTCGCAGCTGAAGCGCAGAGAGGAAACAACGACTGCAAGCCGAAGCGAACGCGAGAGAGAGAAGGAGAAAGAGAAGCGTCGCAGCGGCGACAAGAAAGTACGGCGCAGCGTGTCCAGCGAGGAGAGAGTGCCGACAGAGAAGCAGCGAAGCTTGGACAGAAGTCGCAAGCGAAGTCATAAGAAGTCACGAAGAGATGACAGCGCCGGCAGCGACTCGGAGGACGAACGTTTGCCCAAAAAGAAACGCAAGAAGTCCAAGAAAGCGGCCGATAGCAGCGACAGCGACTCTGCCTCGGAGGACGAATCGACGTCGAAGAAGCGTAAACATAAGAAACATAAGAAGCACAGCAAGAAGAGCAAGAAGCATAAGAAGCATAAGCGAAAGAGCAGCAGCAGTGCCAAGCATAGGCAGGAGAGTAGCTCGCAGAGCAGCGGTGATGAGGATGATGAGCAGCATCATGCCACGTCGAGGACTGCAACCAAACGGAACGGTAAACTTCCGTTGATGATAACTGGCGGCCCTGGCATCAATGAGGACCTGGAGAAGCAACTGCGCGAGCGTGCGCTCAAATCAATGAAAAAGTTGGACTGAGCAACAGCAACACTAACATCATCATCAACAACAACAACAACAACAACAAACGGCTACAACATAGCTGAAGAGGAAGCAGAAAGCAACTGACTAAATATATAATATAATTGAAGAAAGGAATGAAACTTTAACAAATTCCGCTCCCTCATTGCAGTTAAATGCGACAAGCGACAGACAGACTTATGTACGAACAGATGCGTAGCCATTTAAACACTAACGTAACATTCATATTTACCATACATCAAATAATATTTCTAACAAATTATTTCATACTTTTAAGTCACTTTGCGCGTCGAACCTAATACAAAAAAATCCGAATTCGTGCATGATAAATACACTTTGTATTATGTACAAAAATGCAAGAAATTTCTCAATATAAAACATAAAAAAAACTATAATAACAAATAAAGGCCATTGTGCTTTTACCAAAAAACAACAAAAAAAGTCTAAAAAAAATCATGAATCGAACTTCAGAGTAAAGTTTGGTTAGGCATGTTGCTACAGTTAATTGGCAATAAAGTTTGCTTAGAACACTACCGTTTAATGTCTAAGTAGGTTTTACAGATTATAATTAATGATACCTAAAGCGAAACTTGCGTGCGTTTGAGATCATTATTAAAATAATATATAAAAAAGAAAATAAACAGATGTAAAAGATACGTATTGGTATTTTAAATTCTAAAATATTTGGCGCGGTCTGTGCAACCCTTAAAATACGTTTATTTGACACTACTCGTTTACGCTAGTATGGTCACACTCGAAGTACTTAATCTGGCAACGCTTAACGCAGCTGTCAAATGAACTGACAGCGCGTCAACTTCCTTTCCTTTTTTACGTATCGTACGAGATGGTAAGGCTGAAAATATAAATGCAATTTAAATACACTGCCATCGACGCGTAATACAAACAAAAATGCCGTGAAATATAAAATAAATTATGCTACAAACTGTACAATTGTTGAATATGTGAGCATTTGTGTGCAAGTGCGTGATTTTCAATGAGAAAAACTATGCGTTTTTGTTTGTTGTTGCAGTCGTTTGCTTGAAAGTAATGGCTAAGTGATAATTAATTGTGGTTTGACATTTGTTTCTCTAGGCTCGTGGACCTAAGAAACATTTGAAGCGTTTAGCCGCACCCAAGGCATGGATGTTGGACAAATTGGGCGGTGTTTTCGCCCCACGTCCATCGACCGGTCCACACAAGCTGCGCGAGTCGCTGCCTCTGTTGATCTTCCTGAGAAACCGTCTCAAGTACGCTCTGAACGGCGCTGAGGTGACCAAAATTGTCATGCAGCGTTTGATCAAGGTTGACGGTAAGGTGCGCACCGATCCCACCTACCCCGCCGGCTTCATGGGTAAGTCGAAATACACTTGGATTCACAACTTTCAATGTATAACGGAATAATCTATGTTTATCGCTTAGATGTGATCACCATCGAGAAGACTGGTGAGTTCTTCCGTCTGGTCTACGATGTGAAGGGCCGTTTCACCATCCATCGCATCTCCGCCGAGGAGGCAAAGGTGAGTTCACATTCGGTTAGGATAATCGTTCGATGGGCTACATCGAAGACCATTTAGTGTTACTCCATATGCCAATTGGTTCAAAATGAAGCCCAAAGCAATTTTTGATACGACGGTCTCTGATCTTGAGCATTCTCCAGCCGTTTCAGTAACTTTTACGTGCAATTACAAATTAACTAAACAGAAAGTCAATAAGAATTAATGTGGATTTTAGTTGTAATTCTATGTTAACGCAATATTCATTTCTCTTATTCTGCAGTACAAGCTGTGCAAGGTGCGCAAGACACAATTGGGCGCTAAGGGTGTGCCTTTCCTGGTTACACACGATGGCCGCACCATCCGCTATCCCGATCCTCTGATACATGCCAACGATACCGTGCAGGTTGACATTGCCACCGGCAAGATCACCGACTACATCAAGTTCGATTCGGGTATGTTCTGGTTATGAATGAAATGTTATTCCTTTGTCTTGGCTGGTTCGAAGACCACAAAACGCTTTCCAACAAGTTGCGTGGTTCAAATACAAAGCCAAAAGCAATTTTTGATACGACGGTCTCTGATCTTGAGCATTCCTCAGCCATTTCAGTAACTTTTACGTGCAATTACAAATTTCTTAAACGATTTTTTATCATCGATAAATATAATAATATGTATCTTCTCCTTTCTGGCAGGCAACCTTTGCATGATCACTGGAGGCAGGAATTTGGGACGTGTCGGCTCTGTGGTTAACCGTGAGCGTCACCCCGGCTCCTTCGATATCGTGCACGTTAAGGATTCGCAGGGTCATGTGTTTGCCACTCGTTTGACCAACGTCTTCATCATTGGCAAGGGTAACAAGCCTTACATCTCGCTGCCAAAGGGCAAGGGTGTTAAGCTCAGCATCTCGGAGGAGCGCGACAAGCGCTTGGCCGCCAAGACCCACTAAAAACTTTAAATGCCAGCTGGACAGAGCAGCAGCAGCAGATTAGGGGAGAAGAGTAAATAGGATTTTTACTTTTTAGCATAACTCTGTACGTTAAAGCTACGGAATTACAAAAACAACGTAAAGAAAAAGTATTTTCTGTCTTTTTAATGATGCAGTGGAACATGTATGAAGAGATCGCAATGTACATTAAACATAACATTAACCAATTTAAACAAGCCGCCAAGTTTCTCATGAAAGGTACTCGTAACTGTTATCGATATGTGTTCTTTGTTGAGCTGACGTCAAATCTAAGGTGGACCATAAGAAATGTTTGTAACTGAGGGCTGCAGCGTTTTCTCAATCTCCACAGGAATGCATTAGAAGACATTGAGAATGTTTTGCGGAGTGCCCATAATTTTAAAGTGATGGTGAATTTCGCGCGCTTATTTCCTGCGGCTATCAAAGTTCAGTGCTGTCAAATGCTCAACGTTTTATAGGGCTGTAGTGTATCGATAAATGACTAATCACTATCGGCTTATCGATAACAAGTTTTTGTCTTTGTGTGTAATGCAGTGAAAGGCTTGCGCACTGGGCAAAAATTAGTTAAAAAGAAACTGGAAATCAACTCGCCCACTGAAGTAAATCATAGGTAATTTATACTAATAATTGGAAGCCATATAGCTGCTGCTGTTGTCCGCAGGCAAAAACAAGCACTAAGCTGTCGGTGTGTGTGCGTGTAGATGTTTGTGATTGTATGAGCTTACACACACATCTACATATACACATGCATTGAGAAACATATGTACATGCCCTCATATATATGGGGATATGTATGTTTGTATGCCTGTTGGTCATATGTTAGCATGTCTGATAAACTCTGCTGAAGTGAATCATTTGTTTGGCTCCAGCTCTAGTTTGTTTGTTTGTGTAATGCGAAGCGCATTAGTTTGTAGATAGTTGTGGTAGCTAAACTCGAGCACTCTACATTCGCAGACAGTCGCGTCATAAAACCCAACGAGCACGCACCACCCACAAATTATATTAAAAATAAAAAAAAACAGAAGAGCGGAACACCAAAGACAGATTTTGACCGACCCTTGAAGCCATCACACACTCACATACACACACATCGATATATCGATACTCACACACACACATACATAGTACAACAGTGAGCAGAACCGAATTACTATGGCGCAGCCATTGAACAATCCATCGAGCAGCACGCATCGTGATTATGGTGCCATATCTACTGCCACGCCCGAGGTCAGCTTTGCCGCGGGCTCCAATTCGGGCAATGCCGGCTTCAGTCCAACAGAGTTTGTGTCGCTCAGCGAGGATATTGGTCACAATATCACATCGATAAACACGAGCACCAAGCAGCTGGAGAAGCAGCTGAAACTGATTGGCACCTCCAAGGATTTGTCTGCGCTGCGAGAGAAGATTCACAGCATTAACACCAAGACAAATGCCCGGGTACAGAAGACCAGTCAGGATTTGGAACGGCTACAGGCAGTGCTACGTCATGGCGACCGTCAGCAAAAGCTGCAGCTGGAGAAGCTTACGGGTGAATTTCAGGATGTGCTCATAAAATATACCAAGCAGCAGAAGTGCATCTCGGAGGCCACGCGACGGAGCTATGAAGTGGCCGCTCAGTCCGAACGAGAGGCTGACATGTCCGCCAGAACGGAGCTGCTGCAGCAGCAGCGACAGGAGCAAGCCGGCCTGGAGAGGCAGCACGATATGCTCGTCGAGCGTCAGCGCCAAGTGGAACAAATCGAGTCGGATATACTCGATGTGAATGTCATTATGAACAAGCTGAACACCTTCGTGGCTGAGCAGGGAGCTGCAGTGGGTGAGTAATTTTCTAAATCACAAATCCCTAGAGAAAACAATGGATTAATTGATACCATGATATTGATAAGGGAAACCAAACCTGCAATTTTAATTAGTTCCGATAACAAATTCACGTATCGATTGCCGAAATTTAAATTTGCGCCTATTCAAATTAAAATTATGTTAACTGATCGATCACTGTCCGATAACCTTGCCGAATAATTTTTGTTTTTTTCTTATCGTACCACAACATATACGCAGAGAATTATGTATTTATATGAAAACTGATTCCCATTCATACAGAAATATTAATAAAGATAACCCTTTCATAATGCAGATACGGTGGAAGCGCTCATCGATCGTACTGCCGCTAACGTGGAGGAGGGCCGCACCGAGCTTCAAAAGGCAGCAGCTAGTCGTAATAGCTACCGCCGTAAGATATTGATACTTTTAGTGATTGCTGTGATAATAGGATTAATTGTAACTGGCATTATAGTCAGTAAATTGAGTTAATTGTTTTCTATACATGTATACACCCACACTTACACAAACACACACACACATACCCTTCTACATGCATACACATAAAATAATTAAAAAGTTTTGTAAAACTATTTTTATAAAAAATAAGGCATTAATCACAAAGTGAGTAAAAGGCGCGCGCCAAGCGGGCAAAGACAAAAACAAATACAAAACCGCAAAGAAAATTCAATAAAAATACGAGTTTAAATCCGAAACACGTTGTAGATCGTAGTTATGTGTATGAAACAAACAAAAGAGAAAGAAAATTATACATTAAAGAATATATGAATATATATGTAAAAGAAACCATTTAAAATTTAATAACACAATAACAAATTACAAAATATTCAACGCTTTTAAATGTTAAATTATTTCTTGTTAAGCAAAAGCAAAAAAACAAAAAGCAACCATAACAAAAATATTAAAACAATAATTTGCGTTTCGAATTTGTTTTCTCGTAGTTAAGCAAGTTAAGCAAATAATATACGTTGAGTAAACTCGGTTAATTGCTTATCGGTATATATGCTTAAGATATTAAACGATCAATTTATATAATCTGATTTGATTTTATGTACACATTCAATTAACCAAAGCTATTTAACTCGTTGTTGTCCGAATATAAATAAAACTTGGGAAAATTAAAAATAAATCTAAGTGTGGAGCAGCTTTTTTTTTTTTAATACCGTAACAGTTGTCCAGTGTTGGAGTAATGTTAAATAACGTGCTCAATTTTGCGTTCACATATAAGATATCTATCGTTGCACCACCACAAGCTATCGACCATCAGCTGTGAGCTGTTTATCAATCCACGTGTTTTGTTTGTGAATTCAATTTGTAGTTTACATTGAATTTAATATTATTAAAATGCCACAGGGTAAATTTAAAAAGGCAAAGTTGCCTGCAGCTATACAAAACAAGAAGAAGCAGCAGAAACAGGCAGCCTTTACACGCAGATCAAGTGAGTAATTAAGTTTGGCAACATGTTAAATTCTCTTTGAGACTCAATTCCTCGCTATTGCTTACAGATGCTCCCATACAACCAAAGAAGGGCAAATTCAATGAGACTCAGAAAATCAAGGCTGTTATTTCCAAATCAGTTAACAAAAGTGTCGAAAGCGAACTGCGTTTGCGTGCACATGAGGGCTACATACAGCTGAGCAAAGCCCAGGAAGCGGTTGCCAAGCATCACTCGACGCAGGCCGCTGCAGCGGCTGCTGTCAGCACGGATGAATAGTGCATATAAATGATATTGGGTATGTTTCGTTTTTGTCCTTTGGTGCAATACTAAATTTTGTTATTAGTAAAAGGTGTAACAAAGTCTCCATGATGCGTTTGCTTCATGAACCATACTTGCTTGTCCGCCTTCCAATCGCTCTTAAATATTGCTAGAACGCATACGAAGTACACGATGGTCTGGTTAATTCATGGATTATGATTGATCAGACCATGTTGGTAATGTTTTGGGATGTCCAACTCGCTGGACGATGCTCCTTGCGTCTGATAGGTCATGTTGGACGGCTGTGTGGGCTCCCACATATAAAATGTTTTTGATGCTCTATGCACTTAATACGTGCTCTATAAAAGGCTCGATGATGTTTGCTCGTCTCGTCTCCAGGTCGCCCGCTATTTAATACTGTTGTAATGCTCTTAAGGCATATCTAATGAGCTCGGTGTTCTATATACTTAATAGATTATGTTGGATTTCGCGGAACTTTCCAGATCAGCCACATATGACATTTAAAGACTTCATGCCCTATAAGCTCAATTCTTTTTTTTTTTTTGTAATAATTCTAAATGGATATCAAATATGAAAAAACGAACAGCCTTGCCAGCGTCGAGTGCTGTTGTAATTGCAGGCTGAGTGCAGTTCATTTGCATGCTGTTGAATATGCAAAGGACACTTCAATTCTCGCAGCATAAAACTAAAAACGTAAAACGCTTCGAAAAAAGCACCCAACCGTGTATCCAAACATCGCACCGCCAGGTGGGTTAACACCTGGACGTCTATCGCATGGCAGGCGAGGCGAGCGAACGCTCATTTGCATGCGATTGGCGTAGATGTTGGTGCGGGTGGGGGTGTGGGTGCGGGTGCGGGTGCGTGGAGGCAACAGAATCAAAGTGCAATACGAATCAGCATAGAAAAACAAAGGCAACAAGCAAATTGACAGCGGATTTTTCGCGTTATTCCGCCATGCGGGGAGCGGGCTAATTAAAAGCGCATCAAAAGCGCCGAAATTTGCATAGCAAACGAAACGAAACGTTGGAAAAAATTAAATAAAAATTTTTACTTTTCACATTTTTCAGTTGCCAATTTCACATTTCACATTTTCCATTTGACATTTTTACTTTTCACTTTCCCCGATTCTGCCCTACCCCGCATTCCTCGCTTTGTTCATGCCAAACTTTACTTTCTTAATTTTTGACGAGTCCGACGAGGGCGGCAGCAACACGCCCAATAAATGTCAGCGCACAGCAAAACTTTGTTGGCCAAACTATTTTTATAATTAAACAAACACAAACTAATTGCGATAAGTAGCAAAAATGACTTGGCAATTTGTGAAACATTCCTTCTGCTGCCGCCTGCGGCCCATAAATTATCCAAATGCCAAAGTTGTCCGTGTTCCGAGTGCCATGAGTTTGTGGCATGTGCCTTGGGCTATAGACGAATCCTTTTTCCGGCTTAGGTCTGAGTTGAGTAAAGTCTGATTGGAGGTGTGCAATATCAATAGGGTGTGTCGGTAGCACTTTGATGCTGATCTGATATGCAATATTCTTTAAGATTTACTAATATATCCTTCTCTTTCTTACAGCTGGACGTACTGATGTCATGCGGTTCGTTGCAGCTCATCTTGGGATCGTCGCTAATATCACTTGTAGATTAAGTTCTTGTATATAAACTATTTTTGTTTGCTTGAGCAAGATTTGCTTATACAAATAAACATTTTAATAAATTTAATTATAATTCATAAAATTGTAAAATAAATATGATATTAATATGTCAATTATGCCAATAGTTTGAATATAATCAATAGAAATGTACATGTGCATGATTGTATGCACATAAAAATACAAACAAACATTTATATATACATATATACGAGGTCTGTTTAAGGAAATATTTTACATTTAACTTTTTTATAGTTTATATTTTTGTATATAACTTCTGTGGCTTACTCTTTGAACAGACCTCGTGTATGTTTATATGTTTATTGGTCATTTGTAAACAAATAAAATTTACTGGCTTGCACTGTTTGTTTGGTTACACCTTTCGTCACTTCGCAAAGCCAAGTGCACTCGATAGGTAGCTGGGTAGGCGCGCTAGCAAGAGACCAAAGAAGCATTTTCGATCGAGTAGACTTATATATATAGATCGGATTATGGCGCAAACATTCGGCCATTCAGCAAGCAGAAGGCAAGGGGGCTTTGCTGCCATTTACAGTGCAGCCGGCTCCAGCTCCAGCCTTGCCGGCCACAGTCGCTCGGAATTCTCGTCCCTCTACGATGCTATTGGCCAGAATATCACGGCGATCAACAGCAGCAGCAAGCAGCTGGAGAAGCTGTGGAAGCTGACTGGCAAGACAAAGGACCTGCGAACGCTGCAAGAGCAGATCCACAATATCAATAGCGAAACCAATGAGCGGATTGAGAGCACCAGTCGGGATTTCAAGCGGCTGCAGGTGGTATTACGCAACGGCGATCGACAGCAGAGGCTGCAGCTGGAGCGGATCAAAAGTGACTTTCAGCATGTGCTGGAGAAATACTCCGCGCAGCAGAGGCGCAACTCGAGGGCCTCGCGACAGAGCTACAATGCGGCCGTTGCCTCTCAGCGGAAGACTGCCAGCTCGGTGGAAACGGAACTGCTGCAGCAGCAGCGACAGGAACAAGCGGAGCTGCAGCGGGAGCACAACCTGCTCCTCGAGCGCCAGCGGCAAGTGGAACAGCTCGAGGCGGACGTAGTCGATGTGAATATTATTATGAAACAGCTGAGAAGATTGATAAGTGAACAGGGCGACGTGGTGGGTGAGTAGTTGCTCAAATTCCAAATTCCTAGAGAAAATAATGAATTTGCTTATTATTGACTAAAGTTGCCTTAAGAAATGGACATATTTATTGACTAGGCTCAACAAATTCCAAAAACTGATTCGTTTAATGTCTGATAAATTGTGTACATATATCATTTGGAAAATACTACTATCATATCATATCAATGCAGTCCATTCACATATTAATTATCATAGCATATAGTATATATATATTATTCGTAGTATTCGTGAAGATAAACATTTCGTGTATTGCAGATAAAGTGGAGGAGCTGGTCGATGAGTCTGCCGTCAACGTGGAGGAGGGCCGTGCAGAGCTTCAAATATCAGAAGTTAGACGTAATTCCTCCCGTCGTCGAATACTTATACTATTATTTATTGCTGTGATAGTCGTATCAATTACAGCTGGCATTATAGTCTGGAAGTACATTTAATGATTTTCTATACAAACATTTTCCTAATATATAAAGTTTATAATATAATATATGATTTTATAAATAAAATTAAATATTATCTAAAATTTATATGCACATACATAATAATATTACCCCCTTTGAAAATTGCGAATCAAGTTTATAATTTTTATACTCATTATACATTTTTAATTTTTTTTAAAGACAATATTTCATTAGATAAATCTCAGCTAGGAATTTTGTTATTGATATGAGATTTTTGGTCTGTCAAAAATTTGTTTAAATTGAAAAAAGGATTAATGTATCGCTAGACAGTGTTTGATTGATTTGTTGCTGCTGCTGTTGCTGTTGGTTGTCTCTCACCAGGCTTAAGGCTTGCAGTTGAGTATAAAAGGACACCCACACAGCTGCAAAGTAGCGTTTGTCACACATCCAGACAAAGGATAATGTGCATTACAAAAGCGGAAATCAGACGAGCAAACAACCTTTATAAGTAGTATATTCATTTAAAATATATTTGACCCGACGGGCTTATATGTATGTGTGTGTGTGCCTGGAGCAGCAGCAAACAAATGAAATGAAATGGAAAAAAGAAAGAAAAAGAAACTATTTGAATATCGACGTGTGGCCATTGTCCACTGTGGATTGGAATGCCCAGCCGGGCCTACCTGCAGCCGCCTCATTGTGTGCGAGGCGCGCATGTAAATTTGTCCAACTGGATGGCAAAGGCAAACACTTGAAAACGCTCAAAGGACAAATGGACACGGCTTGCGGCCACCTGCGGCATTTATTATTATTATATATACATTTATTTTATACATACATACATATATATATATATATGAACTTTTCATTTTTTTTGCATACAATCGCTTCTGTGTGTGAATTTTGATTTGTTCAAAAAAGACAAAGACATTTATATGCAGATTTTTGTTGTGTTTTATTTAAAATATTTGAGGCAGCTTTTACTTTTCTGTGCATGCGAATGTTCGACTGGCTAAGTAAGCTGTCAGCTGTTGGCCATGATCAAGGCAGAAGAAGACGAAATTGGCTGCTTGGATAGCATTGTAGTTGTAGAGTGTCTGTTGAACAATTATTGAATGGAGTTATCTGAAGAGCTGTCATTATCAATTGATTGAGATTATGTATTTATAGATTATTGAGGTTACTCTTCACAAAAATTAACAAAAAATAAAATAAAAATAAATAAATAAACACATTTAAATGTATGCATATATTTTATTTATTTATATACATATAAACTTTTGGGTCTCAGGTAACCTCAGAGAAACAAATGTGACTCATACATACTTATATGTATGTATATAGGCAAACCTTATACTTATACTCAAGGCATATGAGCTTTGTATGCTAACAAAATAATCAAAGCACAATATTACATTTTAAAGCTAGCCGCCACAGCTAATAAATGTTCCCATTGTGAAGTAAACTTTACATAAAAAAAAATTATTATTTTTATTTAATGCAATTTAATATATAAAAAATATACATATATCAAGAGTACATTTTATTAGAATAAATATTAAAAAAAAATTCAAACTGTTAAGCAGTAAATAATGTATATTAATCTTAATCTTAAAATTAAAATTAATTCATTAAAACAGGTCTGCTTAAAATTAATTATTTTCAATAATTTTATTGTTTTTTTTTTTTTTTTTTTTTTTTTAACAGTCGTCTATAAAAAAAAAAGCTGGTTAGTTAGTAAAGGAACGGAATAAAATGGAATGAAATTAAAAAGACACTTATGTAAGAGAAAAATAAAAAATAGAGAATGTAGAACAAAGACATACAAACACTTCGACCTTTTGGTAAATGAAGTTCAGTATTCTTATATATAATAATATATATTTAATAATATAATATATAATAATATATATTTTAATATATATTTTATATTTTTCAGTCTGCTGCTGTCTGATTGGAGAATCCAGACTCGTTCATCTGTCCCCCTTTAGTCGTATTAGCTTTTTTATATATTTTATTTACATTATTAAGAACAGCTCAGCTGTGTTTTACCTATCACTTCTCACTTATCAGATACCTATGCGCATTTATTTTTATGACTTTTTGGTTGAGCTGAAAATTTACGCTCATTCCATTTTAATATCCCCGAACATTGTACCTTTTTGTGAAAGGTATTTAAATGCTAAGCGTAGCCTTTATAACATTTTTTTTGAATACTTATATGTTTTATGTAGCGCAACGGCGTTGATATCAAACTGTATCTACAACTTCAATTTAATTATAAGCCACGCACACGGCTCATCAAATTTGCTGGCTGGAGCAACCGTTGCAGGTGCAAATGCAGAACAGTTCGGCAAGACAGTTCGAGCCAGTCGAGACAGTCGCCAGCTAGTCGACGTCAGTCCTGGGCAGCGGCTCCCAGCACACACGGCTTCGGTTCCACATTATTATTATCCACGCTTTGGTCCGACTCGGCCCGCTCTCATTCCCGTTCTCTTTGCCGTTCCCACTCCTGTTCTCACTTATTGAACCGGCCGGTCGAGCCGAGCAATTCATTTGCAAAGCGTATCCAAAAATGTTGATGGGATTATTATATGTTGCTCTTGAATGTTCAACTGCAGGTGGAATCTCTATATGCCTTTATGTCTCTCTCTCTCTTTCTCTCCTCCTCCTCCCTCTCTTTGTGTGCAGGTCTTTATCTTTTTAATGTCGTGGATTGCTTTGTGTTTTGCTTAAAGCATTAATTTATGTATTAAAAGTTAGAAATCCGTGTGGACAGGTGAATTTTGTTTCTTCTTCTTACTTATATCTGGTTTAGTCTTGCTACAAATATATAATTTCGTACTGGCCAGTGAAATTGTTGATTATGTATGGAGATGATAATTTTAAGGACAGGTGAGGCAAGCTCAATGGAAATTACACCTGGGAATTCTTTGATGCGGGAATGTGGGAAACATAATAAGAAAATATTCTTGGCATTAAAATTACGTTTATAAAATTTTTAATATTTTAAACATGGGAGATGTAGGGGAATTTATGTTTTGAAATGCAAGCGAAATATTTAAAGTCGAATAAACATGTTTGGTTCTCTGCCAGTGGTTAATCAACTAGGTCAGATATTATCTGATGTCAGTATCAAGCAATTCTTAATTAATTAAGTTTACATTTTTATAAGAACAGTAAAGTTGGGCTTAAGTAATTATTCAAGGAATATATAAATAAAGAAAAAAAAATAATAATACTTTTAGAACTAAAATATAAATATATAAAGTCTTTTATTAAAATAAAAAATATATAAATATATAAATTTTTTATTTAAAATAAATGTATATATATTAAAAACAATATATATAGAAAAATACAAAAAAATATTTAAAAATATAAAATATAAAAATAATAAAAATATAGAGTTCGTATAAAATAATTTTTGTTATATAAATATTCAAATATTAAATAAATGTAAATAGCCAAGCAACTAAAATGATAATAATATAATATAATAAAATATAAAAATATTCCCATACTGGCTATACAGTATTTTGTTTAAATAATATTTGCTATTTAATGATATTTACTCGAGTGAAAAGAAAGAAAACCATAGGAAGATGAGCAATTTTTCATATCTATACTATATACTATATTTGATCTATCAGCATAAGCGATCTTTGGTATAAACTTTCCTTTCTTTCATCATTTCAGGCCAAAAGTCCGTTGCACAATTGGCAGTTTCAATCACATAATTTTGATTTCGACTTGTTAAAATCAGGAAACTAGTTAGTCATGATAGATGGGTTAAGGAGTGGAGATGCGTTGTCTACTTCCGCCGGCTGCACATATACAACTAAAATCGGAAACAAAAAAGTAAAAAAAGGAAAAAATCTGCTGCAAAAAGCGCGCACCGGATGTAAATGGAGCCCAGCTGCATGCCAAAATGCAATTGTCATCAATACGACAACAACAACAGCCAGGACTACAAAGCCAATTCATAAAAACAAAGGCGACCGCCAACAACAAGAACAACCAAAGGCAAAAAGCGAATTTCAATAACGGATGTAAATAAACCGCATGAGATCGATTACCTCCCCAGCGTGCGAGCAGCGGCAGGACTCGCTGGGCTTGCCTCTCACCTGCCTGTCGCCAGGATAACAGATGCGCACGACGCACAGGTACGGCACACAGCGCACAGCATACAGCATTTTTATCTGGCATGCAAAATATCAGTTAACTGCATAAACAGTGCGACGCGAATGAGCAACAGAAAAACATTTAAAAACATTTAGCAGAATGCGTGGAATATGCATTTGGATTGACTGTTGCAATACCCTGTAGTTTAGTTGGGTGTGGTAGGGAAAATATGTGAAATTGATTAAGAGGCTTGTAGTGGTAAAAGCAAAAATAACATTTAGCTCTTTAGAGAATAAATGAAATTTGCTATTTAATCACAAATTATATACGGACTGTTAAACATCTTAAAATATTACAAAAAATATTTTTATATTCAAAACAATTTAATATATACAATAAACAATTTTTAATAATTTTTCTACAATTTAAAATAATTTTTTATATCATAAATAATTAATAACATAGTAATATTTTATAAAATATAATTTATTAAATTTTATAACATATTATTATATCATTTATTAATTTTATAACATATTATTATGCTATTAATTATTTATAATATAAAAAATTATTTTAAATTGTAGAAAATGTATTAAAATTTGTTTATTTTATATATGTGTATTTTATATATAACAATTATTTAATAATTTGCTTATATTATGAAAAATTAAACAATAATGCTTTTTTTTCTCTTTTTTTTTTTTTTTTTTTTTTTTTTTTTTTTTTTTTTTTTTTT